AGCTACCCCCTGCCCCGCCCCGCCTTATTCCTGCTCTCAGCCTTCACCTCAGCTCCTGTCCCTGCAGGCCCCGGGTGCCCCTGAGCTGGCGTTGGGTGGAGCTGGGGGTGCTCAGGGCCGCTAAAACCTGGCTGCCCCTACCCACCCTGGGGGCCTTCTGCTGCAACCCCCACTTCTCCTTTAGGGCGTCGGCTTTGGTCCGAACTGGAGATGAGCCTAGGGGACTGAGGGGCCCCGTATTGTACCCGACCTATTGGGGGGTGGACATTTAAAGGCAGTGCTCCCCAGTCCAAGCCTTGTTACTTCCACATTCAGGCAGGATCTAGCTAAGGCTTAGGGCCATGCCGCAGGCCCCCGCTCCTGGAGGCACAAGCTCAGCTTTCTTTTCATGGTTGTGAAATGACAAAACTTGAAAATGTGACCCCTGCAGCTGTTGTCTGCCTGAGTCAGCAGAAAACCTGATGCAATAGCTCAAAAATATTAACTGCCCCATGCATCTCATTGGTGTGTGTGAGGGGGGGTGTTTAACTCCAAGACCCACTGCTCTGGAGAACCCGGCAATTCTATCCATCATTGGATTTTGTGTGTGGTGAGAAGCATGTGGTGGCCCAACTCACACACCCCCTCCCCGGAAGACAGACGCCTGCTGCTCCAGTGGGGGGTAGGCTCCTATTGCCACTCCTGAGATGAGAGGTTGGGAGGAGAAAAGACCTCACAGCTACTCCAAGCGGGGGCTGGGCCACTGAAGGTCCCATCTCATAGTGTGCCTAGGGCCCTGTATTGTCTAAATTGAGTCATCCCCTCAGGATGCTTCTGTAGATAACAGCAAATATACAGCACTCTTTATCCATAGATCTCAAAGCACTTTACAAGGGATAGTAAGCATTATTATATCCACTTTACAGATGGGGAAAGTGAGGCCTAGAGAGTTTACAGGCTTGCTTTGAAGAGTTGCTACACCACCACAACTGTATTCTAAGTCAATTGTAGGTGCTCTGCACCTTTGAGAATCAGTTTTTTTTTATTCAGGAGCCTTCGTATGGATTTAAGAGCCTAACAAGGTATCCAAGTTTGAAAATGTTACCTCTTGTCTTCTATAGAAAGATTGTTCTGTCCACTACTCTAGGCTTGGAACACACAAAGTTACTATGTACACAGGAAATATTGAAAGACAAAGACAAAGATGTTTTGTTTTTATCCAATGGAGAATTGTGAAAGTGTGATTGTGGAAATAATCAAGTAGCCATCACTACACACTCACTTCAGTACAGGAGAAGTAGGATTTGATAGGCTGGGGGAAAGCCGACAGGTGCGGAGGAGCATGTGGTTTGGATAGAGACATCCCTTAGGGGAGGATCTACAAATGGAGATTCTCTATGTCCTAGTAAAGAGGAGAGTATGGAAGATGATAAAATACAGGTAGGATCTGATGTGAAACAGTCAAATGAAAAAAAGTCTCATTCAATTACAACATGTGAAGGGAGACAGCTAAAAAGTTACAACCTTTTAAAGTGCTTAAATATCAATGCAAATCTAAATAATAAGATGGGTGAACTAGAGTGTCTCGTATTAAATGAGGATATTAATATAATAGGCATCACAGAAACTCGGTGGAATGAGTATAATCAATGGGACACAATAATACCAGGGTACAAAATATATCGGAAGGACAGAACAGGCCATGCTGGTAGGGGAGTAGCACTATATGTGAAAGAAAGCATAGAATCAAATGAAGTAAAAATCTTAAATGAACCAAACTGTACCATAAAATCTCTATGGATAGTAATTCCATGCTCGAATAATAAGAATATAAAGTAGGGATATATTACCGACCACCTGACCAGGATGGTGATAGTGACTTTGAAATGCTCAGGGAGATTAGAAAGGCTATTAAAATAAAAAACTCAATAATAGTGGGGGATTTCAACAATCCCCATATTGACTGAGTACATATTACCTTAGGACAGGATGCAGAGATAAAGTTTCTTGACACCTTAAATGACTGCTTCCTGGAGCTTCATGGAACCCACAAGAGGAGAGGCAATTCTTGATTTAGTCCTAAGTGGAGCACAGGATCTGGTCCAAGAGGTGAATAGAGCTGGACTGCTTGGTAATAGTGACCATAATATAATTAAATTTAACATCCCTGTGGCGGGGGAAACACCACAGAGGCCCAACTTGTAACATTTAATTTCAGAAAGGGGAACTACACAAGAAATGAGGCGGTTAGTTAAACAGAAATTAAAAGGTACAGCGCCAAAAGTGAAATCCCTGCAAGCTGCATGGAAACTTTTTTAAGACACCATAATAGAGGCTCAACTTCAATGTATACCCCGAATTAAAAAAACATAGAGAACCAAAAAAGAGCCACTGTGGCTAAACAACAAAATAAGAGAAGCAGTGAGAGGTAAAAAGGCATCCTTTAAAAAGTGGAAGTTAAAGCCTAGTGAGGAAAATAGGAGCATAAACTCTTTCAAATGAAGTGTAAAAATATAATTAGGAAGGCCAAAAAAGAATGTGAAGAACAGCTAGCCAAAGATTCAAAAAGTAATAGCAAAAAAATTTTTAAGTACATCAGAAGCAGAAAGTCTGCTAAACAACCAGCAGAGCCACTGGACGATTGAGATGCTAAAGGAGCACTCAAGGTCGATAAGGCCATTGCGGAGAAACTAAATGAATTCTGTGCATCGGTCTTCACGGTTGAGAGGATGTGAGGGAGATTCCCAAACCTGAGCCATTCTTTTTAGGTGACAAATCTGAGGAACTGTCCCAGATTGAGGTGTCATTAGAGGAGGTTTTGGAACAAATTGATAAACTAAACAGTAATAAGTCACCAGGACCAGATAGTATTCACACAAGAGTTGTGAAGGAACTCAAATGTGAAATTGCAGGACTACTAACCATAGTCTGTAACCTATAATTTAAATCAGCTTCTGTACCAAATGACTGGAGGATAGCAAATGTGATGCCAATTTTTAAAAGGGCTCCAGAGGTGACCCCAGCAATTATAGGCTGGTAAACCTGACTTTAGTCCCAGGCAAACTGGTTGAAACGATAGTAAAGAACAGAATTGTCAGACACATAGATGAACATAATTTGTTGGGGAAGAGTCAACATGGTTTTTGTAAAGGCAAATCATGACTCACCAATCTACTAGAACTCTTTGAGGAGGTCAACAAGCATGTGAACAAGGATATAGCATATTTAGTGGATATAGCATATTTAGATTTTCAGAAAGGCTTTGACAAGGTCCCTCACCAAAGGCTCTTAAGCAAAGTAAGCAGTTGTGGGATAAGAGGGAAGGTCCTCTCATGGATTGGTAACTTGTTAAAAGACAGAAAACAAAGGGTAGGAATAAATGGTCAGTTTTCGGAATGGAGAGAGGTAAATAGTGGTGTCCCCCACGGGTCTGTACTGGTTCCAATCCTATTCAACATATTCATAAATGATCTGGAAAAAGGGGTAAACAGTGAGGTGGTACAATTTGCAGATGATACAAAACTACTCAAGATAGTTAAGGCAGACTGCAATGAACTACAAAATGATCTCTCAAAACTGGGTGACTGGGCAACAAAATGGCAGATGAAATTCAATGTTGATAAATGCAAAGTAATGTACATTGGAAAACATAATCCCAACTATACATATAAAATGATGGGATCTAAATTAGCTTTTACCATTCAAAGAGTCATTGTGGATAGTTCTCTGAAAACATCCACTCAATGTGCAGCGGTAGTCAAAAAAGCTAACAGAATGTTGGGAATCATTAAGAAAGTGATAGATAATAAGACAGAAAATATCATATTGCCTCTATAGAAATCCATGGTACGCCCACATCTACTGCATGCAGATGTGGGTGCCACATCTCAAAAAAGATATATTGGAATTGGAAAGGGGCAACAAAAATTATTAAGGGCATGGAACGGCTGCCATATGAGGAGAGATTAATAAGACTGGGACTTTTCAGCTTGGAAAAGAGATGACTAAGGGGAGATATGATAGAAATCTATAAAATCATGACTGGTGGGGAGAAAGTAAATAAGGAAGTGTTATTTACTCCTTCTCATAACACAATAACAAGGAGTCACCAAATGAAATTAATAGGCAGCAGGTTTAAAACAAACAAAAGGAAGTATTTTTTCACACAACTCACAGTCAACCTGTGGAACTCCTTGCCAGAGGATGTTGTGAAGGCCAAGATTATAACAGGGTTCAAAAAAGAACTAGATAAATTCATGGAGGATAGGTCCATCAATGGCTATTAGCCAGAATGGGCAGGGATGATGTCCTTAGCCTCTGTTTTCCAGAAGCTGGAAATGGGCAACAAGGAATGGATCACTTGATGATTACCTGTTCTGTTCATTGTCTCTGAGGCACCTGGCATTGGCACTGTCGGAAGACAGGATACTGGGCTAGATAGACCTTTGGTCTGACCTAGTATGGCCTTTCTTATGTTCTTATGAACCAAAAGGAAACATTTGATGTTTTGAAACATTTGAAGCAAACAGGCAGCTTGAGTTTTAGGTCTCTACTACTCAAATATACAGGAAGATAAATACAGAAAATATTACACAGAAGCAGAATTGCATCTAAATAGGTGTTTCCAAAATTTCCAACCAGGCAAAGAACACAATAGAGAGAATTCTGACAACAGCTGCAGTTGTGGTGGCTGGAATCCACCAGATGGCACAGTAAATTGGCAAGATGATCTATCAAAGCTAAAGGTAAACTGGGATACAGCTGGCTATAATAAATTACACTGCATGTGCCTCAGGATCTGCAGAGCCAAAGTCTTGATTCTTGAGCTTTTGCCAACATGCTATCCCATACCAGAAATCTCTGGGAGGATAATGTTGATACTGTCCTTACTCAAGTCTGTAGACAGCAAGTTTACTCAGATGGAGGCTACTGGTATTTGCTGATGTGTCTGAAGAAAGTGCGATCCTGAAGGAAAGGTGCTGCCTTGGGGATGACCACTCTGTCCTCCTCCTTCAATCACTAGGATACAACAAGGCTGTTTGCTTCCTAGTCCTTCATAGGCTAGAACTTTGTTCGCTGTGATCATCACTGAGAACAGCTGATGAAATCAACCCGGACATGTCTGCTCTGCTTGCAGGAGCAGCGAGTTATATGGGCCTGTGGTGCATTGCTCCAGGAATATTCAGGGCCCGGGGGCCCAGCACCACAATGTTCAGGACCGGGTCTCTCCCCCTGCCCTGCCTGCCACCCCCACACGCCTCTCCTGGAGAGTCTCCTGGCCCTGTCTGCAGCCCCCAGGCAATTTAAAAGGTCCCCAGGAGCCCCCGGCCACCATCGGCAGCACAATGGGACTAGGCTTCGCTCCGCGCGCTGCCCCCGCCCCATGATCACTCCGCAACTCCCATTGGCCGGGAACTGTGGCCAATGGGAGCTGTGGGGGTGGGGCCTGTGGGCAGCGGCACACGGAGACACACACACACCCCCGCGCCTAGGAGCTGCTGCCAGAGGGATATGCGGGTCGCCTTCGGGAGCCACCCGAGGAAAGCGCCGCATCCCTCACCCTCTCCCGCACCCCAACCTCCTGCCCCATCCCAGAGCCCGCACCCAAACTCCCTCCCAGAACCTACACCTCAACCCAGAGCCTGCACGCCAAACCCCCTCCCGCACCAGACTCCCTCCCAGAGCCTGCCCCTCCCCTTGCACCTCAGCCCAGAGCCTGCACCCCCTTCTGCACCCAAACTCCCTCCCAGAGCCCACACCCCTCACTCCCTCCAGAACCCTAGCCCAGAGCCCACACCTAGCACCCAAACTCCCTCCTGGAACCCGCACCCCTACCACACCCAAACACCTTCCTAGAGCCTGCACCCCAAACCCTGTACCGCTCCCAAACTCCCTCCCAGAGCCTTAGGCAAGTGGGGGGAATGGGGGCTGGACTTGGACCCATTCTGGGCACCACCAAAAATTATACCAACCTGCCGTCCCGTCGGCTTGGGGCTTCAGTGTTTCCATTGTATAGAAGACTGTGGACTTCTGAGAGTAGTAGTATGCTAGTATAAACAGACTGATAACCTCTCCAGAGTTAGCTGGCAACCAACGTTCCATTATAATGCTCATTTTCACCCTCCAACCCCCTAAGTGTCTCTGCCCATCCACAGCTCTGTGTTTCCAAATTGTAAAGGTTAACTTTCAGGTTGAGGCAGAAATTTTTTCATCATTACATTTAAGGAAAATTCATAAAAGACTTTGAAAGTTTTCAGAGTAGCAGCCGTGTTAGTCTGAATCCACCCTTAGAAATCATTTATTTCTGAAAGGTGACAAAGAACCAGATCCTCAGCCCTGCTATGTTATTGTTCTGCTACAGCATGGCTGAGCGTACCAGGCATGGGAATCCGCAGCTGCTGTAAAGCTGACATAGCTGACTCTGTCTCCCAATCCCCTGTGACGTGCAGTCTATATGGTTTTATAAAAACATGATAAGTGAATATAATGTAACTGGAATATGCTTCATGCAAAAGGTCTCTTGTAAGGTATCATTACAAAGCTTATAATCTACTGAGTGTGATCATCCTATTTGTATAAATGTATCACTCTTGTATCTGAAACTAGAAATATGAAATATAACTCTGAGGGCCTATTGTAATTATGCAAAGTGTGGCCCATTAATGGTGGTTTGGAATCTTGATGACTCCCATTAACAAGGACCATTGTCTGCAGATGGCTGTGTTTTACCTGTGAGTCTTCCTGTATACGTGTGTGCTGGCAAGTGGGTAATGAAGTCTTACAGTGACATGTGATCATGTCACCTGAACTGGAATCCATCTTTAACCTGGTGCTTTTCCAGTGAGGGGGGGTGGAAACCCAGAGGGACAAAGGGTTCCCGTCTTATGCAAAAAATATGTAAAGGGGTGGAACAGAACAAAGGGAAGAGATGAGCCATCATGAAGAATCCCCTAGCTACCACCTAAGCTGGAACAAGAGCTATACCAGGGGAAAGAATTGTGCCCAGGCCTGGAAGGTGTCCAGTCTGAGGAAAAAAACGTACTGAAGCATCTCTAAGGGTGAGATTATCTGTATTTAGTTTGATTAGCCATAGATTTGCGCATTTTATTTTATTTTGCTTGGTGACTTATTTTGTTCTGTCTGTTAGTGTTTTGAACAACTTAAAGCCTACTGATGGTATTTAACAAAAAGACGTTTCATTTATTAATTTT